CTGGGGGGAGCTGGGGGGCTGAAAGGGGGAGCCGGGGGGCGATTCGAGGTGAGGCCGGGCTGGAGGCAGACAGGAAGGACAGGGGTTAGCTGAGGCTGGACACCCCCTTACTGCCTTTCATGCTCCCCCCTTCACCCCCAGACCCTCGATCACACCTGGCCAGCCCACCCTGCCAGCCCCGGCTGCCTGCATGCCCCGCGCCCCACGTCTGGGGGGTTCAGGCACCCACCTGAGCAGCTGCAAAGCAGCCCTGAACCCCCCCGGCCAGAGCTCCCCCATCGTGCCCCTCCCCCAATGCACTCCTCCCCCATTGCACCCACCCCCTGCTCCCCCATTGCACCCACCCCTGCTCCCCTCCCCTAATGTACCCCTCCCCCATTGCACTCAGCCCCTGCTCCCCCATTGCACCCACCTCTGCTCCCCTCCCCTCCCCCAATGCACCCCTCCCCCATTGCACTCATTCCCTGCACCCCTCCCCTCCCCCATCGCACCCCCTGCCCCATTGCACACACCCCACTGCGCCCCTCCCCCAATGCATCCCTCCTCCATCGCAGCCAGCCTCCCGCTCCCCTCCCCCATTGCACCCACCCCTGCTCCCCTACCCTACTGCACCCCCTGCCCCGTGGCACGCCCCCCAATGCACCCCTCCCCCAGCGCAGCCAGCCTCCCGCACCCCTCCCCCAGCGCACCCCTCCCCCACTGCATCCACCCCACTGCGCCCCTCCCTACTCCCCGGGGCCCCCCCTCACCTGCAGGCGGCCGCGGGTCCCGGCCCCCCGGGATTTCCGCCCCTCGCTTCGCTTTGGGGGTTTGGGGGTTTTTCTATTTTTGCACAAGGAGCCAACTCCAGAGAAAGGGAATTAAAGGGGCCAGGCGAGGCGAGGGGCCCTTAAAGGGGCAGGACCCGGCGGGAGGGATTATTGTCCGCCAGATGAAAAGTAAACGGCGAAGGGAGGGGAGAGGACAATGAGGGGGGGATTGGCAGCCCCACCGCCCTGGTGCATTGTGGGATACGGGGGTGCGTGAGCGGAGGTGGCCCCAGTGCATCACGGGAGATGGGGTGCGTGGGGGGAGGCAGCCCCGGTCCATCGTGGGAGATGGGGGTGCGTGGAGGGGCAAGGCCCTGGTGCATTATGGGATACCCGGGTGCGTGGGGGGTGGAGGCCCGGTGCATCGTGGGATATGGGGGTGCGTTGGGGGGAGGCGGCTCCGGTGCATTGTGGGACATGGGGGTGCGTTGGGGGGAGGCGGCTCTGGTGCATCGTGGGATATGGGGGTGCGTTGGGGGGAGGTGGCTCTGGTGCATCGTGGGATATGGGGGTGCGTTGGGGGGAGGCGGCCCCAGTGTGAAACGGGGGTATGTGTGGGGAGGTGGCCCCAGTGCATCATGGGATACAGGGGATTGTTGGGGGGGAGGCAGCCCCAGTGCATCATGGGATATGGGCAGCGTGGGGGGAGGCGGCCACGGTGCATAGTGGGATATGGGGGTGTGTCAGGGAGTCCCCAGGCGATGCTCTGGAACTGCTCCCCACAAAGCCAGTCAGGACTTTGGGGAGCCTCCTCTCCCTCGGAGCAGACCGTCTTCAGGGCAAGAAGCTCACACGGCTTCTCCTCCTGGGTCTCTCCTGGGAGCATTCAGCCTATGCCCCTCCGTGCGCTTCCCACAGCGAGTCCGCCCTGGCGGGGTCCTGGGGCAGCCAGAGGGTCCTGCACCCCCACTTCGCAGTCAGACGTGACTCTCGGCCAGCCAGTAAAACAGAAAGTTTATTTGACGACAGGAACACGGCGTAGGGCAGAGCTTGTAGGTACAGAGACCAGGACCCCTCAGTCAGGTCCATCGTGGGGCCAGGGAGCGCAGAGCTGCGTCTGGGCCCCACTCCATTTCCCCAGCCAGCTCCAAACTGAAACTCTCACACACCCTTATCCCACCACCTAGATACTTAAGAAATGCAACGGGGAAACTGAGGCACTCACACAGTATTCAGAGAAAACATTAAGAACATTCCCACTTCGTCACAGGGTGTGTGTGGGGTGGAGGCCCTGTTGCATCATAGAATATGGAGGTGCGTTGGGGGGAGGCAGCCCTGGTGCATCATGGGAGACGGGGGGAGGTGGCCCCGGTGGATCATGGGAGATAGGGGTGTTGGGGGAAGGCGGCCCTGGTGCATCATGGGAGACGGGGGTGCGTGGGGGGACACAGTCCCGGTGCACCGTGGGATACTGGGGGTGCGTGGGAGGGCAGCCCCAGTGCATTGTGGGAGCTGGGGGCACTTGGGGATTTGCTGGCTACCTCTCTCTCCTTTAATTCCCCCTCTCCATCCTCCCCTTTAAGAACAGTGACATCATCATACGGCGCCAAGCACCAGATGGGCGGGGGGGACGAGGGAAATTTTTTACCCATAAAATCACCATGGAAACCACCCCCCCACACACACATGTGCCCCTCCCCCATCTCCCACTCTGAAGTGGGGGGAGTGGAGGCCCGGACTCCTGGGTTCTCTCGCTGGCTCCGGGCGGGGAGTGGGGTCTGGTGGTTAGAGCAGATGCGGGGGGGGCAGGACTCCTGGGTTCTCTCCGGGCGGGGGCGGGGCCGCAGGGCTGGCTCGGGGCTCACTAATCCTGTACCCATTAACCGGGGAGCCGGGAAATGAGCCGTTGTTTGTGCAGCCCCGTGTGTGTCACCAAAACAAACAGCCCCTGACCCCGGGGCCGCAAGGCCAGACCACCCCCCCGCCACCCCAGGGGGGGCACCGGCCCTTCCCCCTAGGGAGCGCTGCCAGCCTGAGCCCAGCCCTATCGCCTGGGGGGGGAGGGGCCCGTGGCTGGGCCTGGCCCCACGGGGGAGGCTCCCCATAGCAGAGCCGCCAGGCCAGGAGCAGGTGCGCAGGTCCCCCCCAGGACCCACCATGGCCCCCTCCCTCTGCGCCCTTCTGCTGCTCGCCCTCCGCCCAGGTACGGGGGGGGCATGGAGCCCCCCAGGGACGGGGCAAGCGAGGGCGCGGAGGGAGTTCGGGGGGGTCGAGCTGCGTGCGGGGGGGGGGCGAAATGTCCTCCCTGCACTCCTTCATTGGGCCTGTTTCTCGTTCCCCTTTTCCTGTCCCCCCATCCTGCAGCCCGTCCCTCTCTCTCTCGCTCCCGGCTTCTGCCTCCATCCCTCTCCCTTTTCCTTCCCCTCTCGCAAGCCGTCCGTCCTTCCTTCCTTCCTTTCTTTCTTTCTTTCTTTTCCCCCCTTTCTCAGTCTCTCCTTCCTTCTCTCTCTCTTTTGTTTTTTTCCCTTCCTTCTCTCTCATCTCTGCTCTTTTTTTCTCATTCTCTCTCTCCTTTTCCCCCCGAATCTCTCCCTCTCCTCCCTTGGGCCGTGCGTTCATTCCTGCCTGTTCCCCGTCTCCCCAGGTGCCTGGGCGCAGCCCCCCGAGGAGGCAGCGCCCTCCTGTGGCCAGGACGTGGCCATCCGCAATGGCACGTTCGCCCTGTCGGACGGGTACCGCCCGGGCAGCGTGCTCACCTATTCCTGCCCCCCGGGCTTCTACCCCTACCCACTGGGCAGCCGCCTCTGCCAGGACGACGGGCGCTGGACCACGCTCCGCACCCCCACCGGCTCCGTCTTCCCCCAGCCGCTCTGCCGAGGTACAGGATGCCCGGACACCGGGGTTCTCTGGGAGGGGAGTGGGGGCTAGTGTTTAGAGCGTGGTGGGGGCCAGGACTCCTGGGTTCAATCCCCGGCTCTGAGAGGGGAGTAGGGTCTAGTGGGGCGTGGGGGCCAGGAGCCAGGACTCCTGGGTTCTCTCCACTCTGGTTCCATTCTGGTTTCAGAGATCCGCTGCCCGGCGCAACTGGCATTCGAGAACGGCTCGTTCCAGCCGCGCCGGGCGTCCTACCCTGTGGGCAGCATCCTGACCTTCGAATGCTTGGACGGGTACATGCTGCGGGGGCCGGCCCAGCGCACCTGCCAGGGGAACGGGCACTGGGACGGGGGCACCCCTGCCTGCGATGATGGAGGTGAGACCCCCTTATCCCCCTGCACCCCCATATCTCCGAGAGCCCCCATCCCCCTGCGCCCCCATATCCCCTGAGAGCCCCCCATTTCCCCTCTGCCCCATATCCCCCTGCGCCCCCGAGAGCTTCCTGAGCCCCCATTGCACCCCTGAGAGCCCCACATTTCCCCTCTCTCCCATATCCCCCTGTGCCCCCGAGAGCCTCCTGAGCCCCCATTGCACCCCTGAGAGCACCCCATTTCCCCCGTATCCCCATATCCCCCTGCGCCCCCGAGAGCCCCCATACCCCCTGTATGCCCCAAGCACCCCCATGTCCCCAGGGAGCTCAGGGGTGGAGGTGGGTCCCGGGGGGTTGGAGACTGGGGATTCGGGGGCCGTTCTCACCTCTCTCTGCCCCCAGCTGAGCACTGCCCCAACCCCGGGGTGCCGGCCGGGACGACGAAGAGCGGCAGCCGGTACCGGCTGGGCGAGCGGGTTTCCTACCGCTGCCAGGCGGGGCTGTCTCTGGTGGGGTCCGCGCAGCGTGTCTGCACCGAGGCTGGGGAGTGGTCGGGGGCCGAGCCCAGCTGCAGAGGTGAGTGATTCCTCCCCACCCCCACCCACATCCCTGGCCCAGGGCTCCCCCTTCTGGCCCTCCACCCCCTCCAGATTCCCCCACCCCTGGGGCTCCTTCACCCACCTCCACAACTCCCCCCCCACCTGCCCAGGGTCCCCCTCCCCATCCCTCCTTGACCCTCGGTCTCCCCCCCACCTCCGGCGCCGTGTACCCCGCTGCCTGGCTAACAGGGGCCCCGCTTCCCCCTGCCCGCGCAGCCCCTTTCTCCTACGACCGGGTGGAGGACGTCGGGGCCGAGTTCGGAGCCTCCTTCTCCAATGTCTTGGGCCTGGCCAGCTCCTCGGCCTCCTCCAGCCTCAACGCCTCCATCATAAAGCCACGTGAGTCTGCCTGGGAGTGTGGGGGGAGGCAGGCCCTGGGGGGGATTCTGATGGGGTGGGGACCAAGGGGAGAGGGTGGTGTCGCGGAGTGTGGGGGACTCAGGGCCCTGCACCCCCGGCTCCCTGCGATTCACCATGACTCTCAGCCAGCCAGTAAAGCAGAAGGTTTATTTAGACGACAGGAACACAGTCCAAGACAGGTCTTGCAGGCACAGACAACAGGACCCCCCTCAGTTAGGTCCATCTTGGGGTCCCCGGGCACCCCAGCCCCCTTGGGAGATCAGAGCTCCGTCTGCCTCCCAGCCACCTCACCGGCCCGCTCCTGAAACTCTCCCTTCAGCGACCCCTCCCACAGCCTTTGTTCAGTTTCCCGGGCAAAGGTGTCACCTGGCCTCTAACCCCTTCCTGGGTTCTCATGTTACATGCTCAGGTATTCTCCGTAGGTCAGTCTCCCATCCCCCAATGCAGACCATCCTAGCCACACTCCCCTGTCAGCATTCACAGACCACAGTAAGAACAGTCCCAGTTCGTCACAGGTGGTCTCTGCGGGGCGATGAGGATGCAGTGGGGGCGGGAGTCCAAGAGATGGGGGTAGCAAGAGGCAGTGGGGAGAGGAGGGAATTGAGGGAGTAGGGGTTGGTACTAAGGGAGGTGGGGCACACAGGGGGATCCTTCTCCCCAGGATGTTGCGGATGACCTCTCCCGATTCCCCTGCCCAGCAACATTCCTGGGCCGCAGGCTCATTCTTAGCGAGGACAGCTTCGTTAATGTCTACCTGCTGGTGGACTCCTCGAAGAGCGTCAACAGAGAAAACTTCCAGATCTTCAAGGAATGGGTGGAGAACATTGTGGACCGGGTGAGTCCGGGGTGGGGGCGGCAGCTCCACTGCCAGGGACTATGTCTCAGCATTGGTTCTAAGCGGCTCAACACCAGCCATGGCCACTGCGATTTCTAGGGGTGTCTACAATGGTTCTGGGCACCTCAGTGTCTGTTATGCATGCTGCAAGTTCTAGGTCCTTGTATGTCAGCTCAAAGGTTCTTCACTGCCAGACATGGATGACACAAGTTCTGTGCACATGCATGCTGGTTCTAGGTACATCAACACCAGCCATGGACTCTGCAAGTTCTAGAGGCTTGTGCGCAGGCGCTACATACCACAGGTCAGCCATGAATGCTACAGGTTCTAGATGCCTGCATGCCTGTTCCAGGTATCTCAATAGTAGCCAAGGGCACTGCAAATTGTAGCTTCTCCCACATCAGATCTAGGTATTTCAGTGCCAACAATGAGTGCTGCAAGTTGTAGGTGCCTCTACCCCAGTTCTAGGAATCTCGCTGCTGCAAGCTCTAGGTGCCCATATGCTGATTCTACCTACAATGACACCTTATGGACATTGCAAGCTCTAGGTATCGCTGCCTTGGTTCTAGATTCTTCAATACCAGCCACACGTGCTGCAAATTCTAGGTGTCTCAGTGTTGGGTTTAGGTGCCTCAGTACCTGCTCTGGGCCCCTCAGCACTGGGTCTAGGTGTCTCTCATTGCCAGAGCTCACTTTTCTGTTCTTTCTCATACGCTGTTCTCCTCTTCCTCCCTCCCTATCTCTCACCCGTTCCAGATTGCCAGCTTTGAAGTAGCGTCCAGCTTTGCTGTGATCTCCTACGCCACCAAGCCCAAGAAAATCGTTTCCATTCATGATCCCGAAGCTTCTGACGCGGATGCGGTTATCAGAAAGATAAAGACGGGGATGAATTTTCAAGGTCCTGCATGCTTCCTCTTCACGGGGCCTCCCTAATGTATGGGGGTCTTGGGCTGTCAATACCACTCACGCCCTGTATTAGGTGCCTCAGGACCCTGGATATTACTTGGGTTCTAGGTGCCTCAACACCTGCTTTCAGATTGGGAGATGGACGCTGGTGGTCACGTCAAGCCAGTAATAAACCATCATTAGGGTTTCTAAAAATAATAGAATGTAACTTGCTAACTCAGAAAGTATCGCACCCACCATGAACTAACTCTATTTTGGATCTTACTATGACAGATAAAGAGGAATTGATCACTGGACTGGAAGTTGGTGGTTGCCTAGAGACCAGTGATCGTGACCTGATTGCATTCAATATGAGCAAACAGAGACAGTCCCAGATGGAAATATATATATTTAGTGCTTCAAAGAGAACTAATTTCCCCAACCTAAGGAAAATGCCGAGTGAAATTGAGTGGGAGGAAATGTTAAGTTCTAGGTGCCCTCAGTACCAGCCCTTAATCTCACTAGAATTTTAGTTGCCTCAACACTAGTCCAGGGCACTGTCAGTTCTTGATGACTTAGCATCACTTGTGGACACTATTGGTTCTAGGCACCTCAACCCCAGTCACAGGCATTGTTGGTTCTAGATGCCTCAACACGCATTATGGGTATTATAGGTTCTAGGTGCCTCAATGGCCGCACCTCCTTTAAGGCTTTAGATGCATCAACACCAGCAGAGACGACCCATGCCTGCTGATGGGCAGGGAGCAGAGCGAGGGCAGCTGGCTTCAGCAGTGTTACTGAGCATACTCAGTCCATGTGAGCATGCTCTGTCCAAGCCAAGCAGCAAATCTGGCGGGGGGGAAGGAACGTGATCCCACATGCCCCCTCACGCATCACCTCTGGAATTCAGTTCTAGATAGATCTATTCCATCTATTGTCATTACTGGCTCTAGGCTCCCCCACATGGGTTTCAGATGCTTCACTATATCCTGGGTTCTAGGTGCTTTAGCACCAGTTCTAGGTATGTGGGGTATTTTATCCTTTTGCAGATCATGGCAACGGGACTGGAACCAACATCCGAGCAGCGCTGCTGGAGGTGTATAACATGATCCTGTTCCAGCAGCAGTCCTTTGACCGGCAGGGCAAGCCAGATGCGTGGAAGACAATCCGGCATGCCATCATTGTGCTGACAGATGGTGAGGAGTGACTGTTCCATTCTTTGGGGGCCAGGAAAAGGGTTATCTGATCCCCATTCTCAGTGGGTGCAGGTCAAGCTTCCCAACTGCATAGCCCCTTGTCAATGTGCCCCTGTCTTGGGGGAAGGGAATGGGTCATATCTGCTAACCCATAGGATGTTGTTTCAGGCAAATACAACATGGGAGGATCCCCCAAGGATGCAATAGCCAAGATAGAAGATGTCCTAGAGATCAAGCCAGACAGGAAAGACTACCTAGGTGAGTCTGCCAACACACTTGGGTCCATTCCAGTGATGGTTGCAGTCCTTCACTGATGTGATCTACCTGTTCTAGGTGCCTTAATGCCGGTTCTAGGTGCTTCATTACTTGGCTGTGGCCACAGTTCCAGGATCTTGGCACTTCCCATTCTAGAGTTGTCAATATCTTCCTTGGCGCTGCAATGCCAGGATCCGGGTGTTACGAGTTCTAGGTGCCTAAAAACTAGTTCAGGGATCTGGGAATTCCCAGTTCTAGACGCATCAGTATTCTATTTATATTATTGGCTTTAGGTGCCTCAACAGGGGTACCAGACACTTTAAGCCCAAGCCTAACCAGCCCAGTATACTCTGTCTTGGTGTTATATCAACTCTGTATACCCCAGTGCCTTCACAACAGGTTATTTATACTGTTGGTTTTAGATGATTTAATATCACCTGTTGGCATGGCAGCAGCGTGTTCTTTGCAACATTGGTTCTAGATGTGTCTACATACATTCTGGATACCCTCTGTGTTAGTCCTGCTACCTAACAGGTTATTTAATCTCTTCTGGGTATCCCAATAGTACTCCTCTATGAAGATATTACCACTGCTGGTTCTAGGTACCACTACACTTGTTCTGTTTTCCCAAGACCAGACCTGGCTATGAAATGAGTTTTCTTCCCACACAAAAGTTTTGATGAAAGCAACAAAGGCTTTTATTAAGAATTTTCTTCAGAAGTTTCTGGGTATTTTTCAATTTTTGCCAATTTTTTCAGTTTTAACTGAAAAGAGATATTGCCTGCTGAAAATTTTTGACCCAAAAGGTCATTTTTCTTTGTTCAGGGGGAGGGATGTTCCACACTTTTGAGTAGCTCAACTTGCTATCAAGTTTTCTGCTTTCTTGATTCTAGGTGCCAATTATAGGTATGAATAATGATAACTCAATTTTAGCATCTATATGCTACAATTTCCAGGTTCCTCTGTGCACCCTATTCCTCACTAGCCGATTCCTTCTACTCTGGGTTCTAGGTACCTCAACACTGGTTCTAGGCATTATTAGGTCCTAGATGGTCCTAGGTCCTCTATTTGTCAGAAGCTGGGAATGAGCAACAGGGGATGGCTCACTTGATGATTACCTTTTCTGTTCATTCCCTTTGAAGCACCTGGCATTGGGCACTGTCAGAAGACCGGATACTGGGCTAGATAGACCTTTGGTCTGACCAAGTATGGCCGTTCTTATGCCCTAGTAATAAGTTTTAGGCACTATGCCAATTCTAGGCACCACAGTATAAGTCCTAGTGCCTTGCTGCTGGGCTATTTGCCCTATTTGTTCTAGGTGCATCAGCGCAGGTTCTAGGTGCCTCAACACCATTTCTAAGCACTGCTGGGTTCCAAAATGCCCTAATTATTGGTTCTGGGCCCACTGCTGGTTGTAGACTCCACACTACCAGGGACAGGGCTCTCCAGTGACCTTCCAGCCTCAACACCAGCTCCAAACACTTCAGATTCTCGGTGCCCTCATGCAGTTTCTTGACTTGCCTCCTAGATATCTATGCCTTTGGGATTGGGACGCAGGAGGTGGACTGGGATGGCCTTAATGAGATTGCTTCCAAGAAGGAAGGGGAGAGGCACGCCTTCAAGATGGACTCCAGCCAGAATCTCAAGGCTGCGTTCGAGGATGTCCTGGGTATGTCGAGGCCGACAGCGGGCGCGGTGTCCCCCTGTCACAGCGCGGGGGCCTCGTCTTTGCAGGCTGTCTAGTCAAGCTGCCAAGGAGGAGGGCTGGGAAGTCTCGTCTCCGTGTCTGGAACTGGGTGGGGGCGTCTCTCCTAGAGGGGAACTGAGCCAGCGGGGGGGTCTCTTCCCATGGGGCACCAGTTTGGGGGGGGCTCCACTGGGACTATGGGGCCATGTGGGCTTGGGGGTCTTCCAGGACAGTCACCCTAGGGTGTGGGGGTCACACAGAGGGGCATGGCAAGCAGTGACCCCGAGGACTAACCCTCTTCCCCCCCCCCATGGCACAGACACCAAAAACATCCACGATCTCTGTGGGCTGGGGAATGATTCGCAGAGCGCCACGCACCAGCAGAAGAACCCCTGGCACGTGGTCATCAAGGTGGGTCTGTCTGCTGAGCCTTCTTGGGGGGTGCTGTCACGTTCGCTCCCTCCCTGGGGCGTGGAACCACCGTCCCAGACACCTGGGTCCCTGTGACAAACTGGGACTGTTCTTACTGTGGTCTGTAAATGCTGACAGGGGAGTGTGGCTAGGATAGTCTGCATTGGGGGAGGGGAGACTGACCGAGGGAGAATACCTGAGCATGTAACGTGAGAACCCAGGAAGGGGTTAGAAGCCAGGTGACACCTTTGCCCGGGAAACTGAACAAAGGCTGTGGGAGGAGTCGCTGAAGTGAGAGTTTCAGGAGCTGGCTGGTGGAATGGCTGGGAGGCAGACGGGGCTCTGACCTCCCAAGGGGGCTAGGGTGCCCGGGGACCCCAAGATGGACCCAACTGAGGGGGGTCCTGTTGTCTGTGCCTGCAAGACCTGTCTTGGACTGTGTTCCTGTCGTCTAAATAAACCTTCTGCTTTACTGGCTGGCTGAGAGTCATGGTGAATCGCAGGAAGCCGGGGGTGCAGGGCCCTGTGTCCCCCTACACTCCGTGACAGTCCCGTTCCCTCCCTCCCGGGGGGGCTGTGAGCACTGCAGGGCCCCCTGGTAGTGCTGGGAGTGGGGGTGCTCCTCCCACGGCCCCTCCCTGCATTTGCCCCTTGTCACGGAGTGTGGGGGACTCAGGGCCCTGCACCCCTCTTCCTGGGATTCCCCAGGACTCTCAGCCAGGCAGTAGAACAGAAGGTTTATTGGACAATAGGAACGCAGTCTACAGCAGAGCTTGTAGGTACAACCAGAACCCCTCAGTCAAGTCCTTCTGGGGGGCAGGGAGCTCAGACCCCAGCCCTGGGGTTCCCTGCGTTCCATGACACAGCCCAAACTGAAACTAAAACCTCCTCCAGCCACTCTCTCCCCCTCCCCCCGGCTCCCCCTCTCCCTTTGTCCAGTCTCCCGGGCCAAGGTGTCGCCTCGCCCCCCGCACCCCCGGCTCAGGTTACGTGCTCAGGTATCCTCACTCAAGGGGAGTCACCCCCTGCTCTCCCATCCCCCATGCAGACAGCCCCAGGAAAAGCAGACGCCATTCCCAGGTCAGTCCGCCCCGCTCCCTGCTCCTCACACCCTCTCCCTGTCCGTAGGGGAGGACGGGCGCCTCGTGCCGGGGGTCCCTGCTTTCTGACTCGTGGGTCCTGACAGCCGCACACTGCTTCAACCAGGTGACAGACACCTCCCTCTGGAGAGTGCAAGTGGATAAGGGTGAGTCCTGGCTCCCAGCCCACCCGTTCCAACCCACTAGACCCCCCTCCCCTCCCAGGGCCGGGAGAGAACCCAGGCGTCCTGGCTCCCAGCCACCTGCTCTAACCACTAGCCTCTTTCCTGGTGCGCGCCCGTTGGCAGAGTCGCCTCCAGCACGGGCCCTTCTCCCCCGTCCGACCTTTCCTCAGCTCCGACCTGGGCCCTGCGTTCCCCTCACCGCACCCCTGCCCGGCCCCTGGCTGGCCTGGACCTCACTGACGGGCAGGAGAACGGCCCCATGGGCCGACAAGGGGAACGAACAGAGCAGGGCAGATGGCGAGTGAGCCGTCCCACCGGCCAGTCCCAGCCTCTGGCAGTCCGAGGGCTGCGTCCCTGGCCATCCCGGCTAGTAGCCACCCACAGCCCCATCCGCCCGGAGCTTTGGCCTTACAGCAACCTCCGGCAGTGAGTTCCACAGGTTGTCAGGGCGCTCGGCGATGCCTTGCGTGGGTTTGGAGCCCGCTGCCTGGTCACTTCCTCGCTTGCCCCCTGGTTCCTGCGTTCCGGGAAGGGGCGAATACACTCCCCGGGTCCCGCTCTCCAGCCCCCTCGGTCGTCTCTTTGCCAAGCTGACCGGGCCCAGGCGCACGGAGCAGCCCCCGAATCGGCCCCGTGTCCCGAGGGGGAGCGTCCAGGCTGGGGGCCCATCCCGTGGGGCTGGGCCAGGCCTGAGGCTGTGTCTCGGGGCAGGGCCGGAGATCTCCATCGAGCGCAGGATCGACCACCCATGGTACAACGTCACGGCCAAGGCCGGCCAGGGCATCCCCGAATACTACGACTACGACGTGTCGCTGATCAAACTGCAGCAGGCCGTGCAGTTCTCCGGGCGGGTCAGGTGAGAGCGGGGCTGGGGCCTGGCCCCTCTAGGGGGCGCCGGCTCCCACCCGGCCCCAGGGTGGGGACTGGCTGGCTCAGAGGGGCGGGGAATGGGGCAGGGGCCTGGCCCCTCTAGGGGGCGCCGGCTCCCACCCGGCCCCAGGGCAGGGACTGGCTGGCTCGGGGGGGCGGGGAATGGGGTACCGGGCCTGGCCTCTCTAGGGGGCACCGGCTCCCACCCGGCCCCAGGGTGGGGACTGGCTGGCTCAGGGGGGTGGGGAATGGGGCAGGGGCCTGGCCCCTCTAGGGGGCACCAGCCCCAGCTCAGCGCCCATCTGTCTCCTCCCCAGACCCATCTGCCTGCCCTGCACGACGCGAGCGAACCGAGCGCTGAAGAAGCCCCAGGGGGCAACGTGCAGGGATCACGGTGAGTGTGACGTCCCAGGGGCCGTGATCGCCCCGTGCGTCCCTCGAGCCTGGCGCCCCCGGGAGCGTCTCGCCGCACCGGCTCCGCGGGCAGGGGCATCAGGGCACGGGCGGGGGCGGGGCCTGGGGCGTGGGGGCCCCGCTCGGAGCGGCGGGCGGAGGCGGGCGGCTTGGGGGGCAGGGCAGGGACGGCTGCCAGCCAGCGCCCCGGCTTGCCTGGCGCGGAGGGGCAGGGCCTGGGTGGCTCCCACCCACTTCCGATCCGCCAGTTCCCGGCATGGCCCCACGTGAAAACCTCTGTGCTGAATGTGCCCCCTCTGATTTTAACACCCACTAACCCTCACTCTAACCACCACCCCCTCCTTCCAAGGAATGAACCCAGGAGTCCTGCCCCAGCCCCTCCCTGCCACAACCACTACCCCCCCTGCTATTCCAGGGAACCCAGGCGTCCCGGCCCCAGCCCCCGCCGCCCATTCAGGGAACCCAGGCGTCCCGGCCCCAGCCCCCGCTGCCCGTCCAGGGAACCCAGGCATCCCGGCCCCGGCCCCCGCCGCCCGTCCAGGGAACCCAGGCATCCCGGCCCCGGCCCCCGCTGCCCGTCCAGGGAACCCAGGCGTCCTGCCCTAACCTGGCTGTCTGCCCTGCAGAGCTGGAGCTGCTGGGCCTGGAGCGGGTCCCCGCCCACTTCATCTCCCTGGCCAACCAGAGGTTAAACGTGCAAATCAAGACCAAAAAGTCGGTAGGTGGGGCCCTGTGCCCCAGAGTGGGGGGGGTCTGTCCCGGGCGCCGTGGGGGGCACTGGCTCCTGCCCCATTTGGGGGGCCATTTGCAGCAGGGAGAAGATGCTGCCCCTGTCCCAGCTGCTCAGGGAGAGCTGGGGGGGAGGGGCTGATGGGGTGTGTGTCCCCCATGCCCCCCGTCTCTGCTGAGCTGGGGGGCAGGGGAGCCCAGCTGTGCCTGGAGCGGGAGCTGCCCGGGTGCTGGGCTGAGCAGGCTGGGGAGAGCTCGGCTTAGAGACACACACTGACACCCTCGTGCACCCAGTCTCCCTCGCACGCCCTGACACCCTCGTGCACCTGGTCTCCCTCGCACGCCCTGACACGCGCACGCCCCCGGTCTCCCTCGCACGCCCTGACACGCGCATGCACCCCGGTCTCCCTCGCACGCCCTGACACACGCATGCACCCCGGTCTCCCTCGCACACCCTGACACGCGCATGCACCCCGGTCTCCCTCGCACACCCTGACACGCACACGCCCCCCGGTCTCCCTCGCACGCCCTAACACGCGCATGCACCCCCGGTCTCCCTTGCACGGCCTGGCACGTGCACGCGCAGCCCCAGTCTCCCTCGCACGCCCCAACACGCACACCCCTGGTCTCAATCGCACACACCCACACGGTCTCCCTCACACACACCCCGACACACACACGCGCGCGCACACACACACATACCGTCTCCCATGTACACACCCTGACACACGTACACAAACCCTGACACACGTGGACACACCCCAACACGTGCACACACCTGGTTTCCCTCGCACACGCCCCGACACACACCTGCCCTGACGCACACACACCCGGTCTCCCTTGCACACCCCAATGCGCACACAAACACCCCCCAACCACACATGGTCTCCCTTGCACACACCCAGGCACGCACATGCACACACCGATGCACACACATCGACATGTACGCACACACCCAGACTCATGCACACACCCCAACACACACCCGCACACCCAGTCTCCCTAGCACACACCCCGACGCACGTGCACACGCACTCACACGCTTGTGTTACTGTTGGCGCTGTGACCTCTCCCTGGGGAGACGGGCCGGGCCGTGGGCTCTGGGAGTTGTGCTGGGCCGAGCCAGGGTCGGGAGGTCGGGCTGCTCTGTGCGTTCAGCGTCTGTTCCTCTGCGGCCCGGTTCCTTCTGTGGAATTATCCACTGCCCGCCCCTGCCAGAACGTCAGTGGAGCCGGCGCTCGCCGGAGCCGTGCTAGTCCCGCCGCGTTGGCCGCACACACAACCGCGGACCCGGGGCCAGCGCCGGCGCCGGCCGTTCATTGCCACACGGGATTTTTAGGCGTGTCTGCAAAATACCCTCAAATCCGAACGAAACGGAGTGCGCTTCCCAGGCGGGCCAAAGAGCGAGGCTGGAGCCAACAGCAGCGCGTCCCACGCACGCAAGCGGGCGGCAGAAACCCGATGTCCTCAGACAAATTCCTTCCCCTGCGCCGGGCCGGAGATCCCCCGAGTCGCGCCCGGCCCCGGGGGGCAGGGAGGGGTTTAGAGGGCGAAGAGAAGGGGAAGACCGGACGCGGGTGCCGGAGATCCCCCGAGTCGTGCCCGGCCTCAGGGGGCAGGGAGGGGTTTAGGGGGCGAAGAGAAGGGGCTGACCGGACGCGGGTGCCGGGGATCCCCCGAGTTGCGCCCGGCCCCGGGGGGCAGGGAGGGGTTTAGGGGGTGAATAGTCTTGCCCCCCCCCCCCCGAGGTGGGAGAGAACCCAGGAGTCCTGTCCCCGCCCCCAAGGTGGGAGAGAACCCAGGAGTCCGGGGACCCCCCTCCAGGAGGTGAGAGAGAACCCAGGAGTCCTGCCCTCCCGCGGTGGGAGGGAACCCAGGAGTCCTGGTGCCCGGCTAAGCCCTGGCTCTCGCCCCCAGCGCCCTTCGTGCATTGGTGGCGCCATCCAGCCTGGCATGATCTACGCCAACGTGTCGGACGTGTCCCAGGTGGTGACCGACCGGTTCCTCTGCTCTGGGCAGGAGGCCAGCGGCGGCTCGGAGGAGGCGTCTACCTGCAAAGGTGACACAGGGCCTGTCCCCTCTAGGGGGCGCCGGCTCCCACGGCCCCACGGCAGGGACTGGCTGGCTCAGGGGGGCAGGGAAGGGGATCTGTCCCCTGTGGGTCTGAGTTCTGGTTTCCCCCCACAGGTGAATCTGGGGGGGGGTTGTTCCTGGAGAAGAAGAGGAGATATTTCCAGGTTGGTAAGCCCCTCCCCCCAGCTTTCTTGTCCGGACGCCTGGGTCCCATCCTCTCTCTCCCTGGGCCTGGGAGCTGTGTCTGTTGGGGGGCAGGGGGGGCTGTCCTGGACGCCTGGGTCCCATCCTCTCTCTCCGTGGGGCGGGGGGGGCTGTCCCGAACGCCTGGGTCCCATCCTCTCTGTCCCCAGGGCTGGGAGCTGTGCAGGTGGGGGGGAGCTGTCCCGGATGCCTGGGTCCCAGCCCCGTGTCTGTCTCCCCAGGTGGGCGTGGTGAGCTGGGGCACCTACAGCCCCTGCCCCTCGAAGCAGAAGGAGAACGAGGAGGTGAAAAGG